TCATTGGGGTGGCTTACAGTTTAGAGATTTAGCACATTATCTTCATGGCAGGTGGCATGCAGGCAGGCATGGTGCTGGAAAAGGAGCTTCGAGTTCTACCTCTTGATCCACAGGCTACAGGAAGTGAACTGTGTCACTGAGCATAGCTTGAGCACAGGAGTCCTCAGAGTCCACCCCCACAGTGACACACTTCCTCCAATAAGGTCACAACTACTACAAGGTCACACCTCCTAATACTGCCACTCTCTTTGGAAGCCATTTTCTTTTATTTATAGTATTTTTATTTTATAATTAACTTAATTTCACATATCAGCCACAGATTCCACTGTCCTCTCTCCTCCCACCCCCAGCCCTCCCCTCCAATTCACCCCCCACTCCCACCTCCTCCAAGGCAAGGTCTCCCCTGGGGAGTCAGCCCAGCCTGGCAGACTCAGCCAAGGCAGGTCCAGTCCCCTCCTCCCTACACCAAGGCTGAGCAAAGTGTCTCAGCATAGGCCCCAGGCTCCAAAAAGTCAGCCCATGCACCAAGGACAGGTCCTGGCTCTACTGCCTGGGGGCCTCCCAAACAGTTCAAGCTAATCAACTGTCTCACTTATCCAGAGGGCCCGGTCCAGGTCCATGGGGGTTCCTCTGCCATTGGTTCACAGTTCATGCGTTTCCACTAGTTTGGCTATTTGTCTCTGTGCTTTTTCCAATCATGGTCTCAATATCTCTCGCTCATACAATCCTTCCTCTCTCTCACCAGTTGGACTCCTGGAGCTCCACCTGGGGCTCGGCCATGGATCTCTGCATCCGCTTCCATCAGACACTGGATAAGAGTTCTATCATGACAGCCAGGGTGTTTGGTCATCTAATCACCAGAGCAGGTCAGCTCAGGCACTCTCTCCACCATTGCCAGTAGTCTACAGTGGAGGTATCTTTGTGGATTTCTGGGGACCACTCTAGCCCTCTGCTTTTTTCCTATTCCCCTGGGGTCTTCATTCATCATGGTATCTTCCTCTCCATTCTCCCACACTGCTCCTGATCCAGCTGGGCCATTTTCTTTCAAACTACCACAATCAAATTTACTGATTTTTGCCATTTTCAAAAGTATCATGTAGTTTTATGGGTCTCAAAAGGTAATTTTGAATATATGCGATTCTTTTCTTTTTATGATAAGTTTAGAACTTTACCTCCTACGTAAGATGTAACTCGGCTTGAAGATGACAGGAAGTACTGAGGGCCACACAGCCATCAGCATGCCTTCTTCTTTTCTCTATAACAAAATCTTATTTTCTTCAGGTAGTGAACCTTCTCATGGCAAACAGGACTGTGATACCAGCTCCAGGAGTATATTCGACTTAGGCATACAATACTCTCCCCACCTCAGACTTACGATACTCTCATCTGTTTCACAACTGCCTAGTTGGGAATTGGTCCAGGCAGCAATTCTGGTCTGATATGCAAATATGAGAATGGGTACATTAATGAAATACTAGACAGGTTCTCCAGAAGGAGAAGACTCGGTGGTGGTTCTTCCCATGTGTGTTGCTATGCTTCTAATGTGTAAGGCTCCAGCTTTGATCTCTGGAACTTGGGGAAAAAAAAGAACCTTAAGGAGACTGTGTAGTTCACATAAATGGACTCTGTTCAGTTTTGGAGCCTGAGAACCCCATGATCCAATCCAGTTATTGGTTGATTTCATCCCTGGTGAGAGCTTGCTTCCTGATCTGCAGATGCCTGCTATCTTGCTATATCTCTGCCATAGATTTTCCCTTGGAATATGAAAGTAGCAATAGAGAGAAGGGAAGCTTTTCTGTTTTCTCTCTTAAGGCCATGATCCTATTAGACTAGGATGCCACCCTTAGGACTCCATGTAATCATTATTACCTGAACTGAATCTCCAAATACAATCTCATTGGGATTAGGGCTTTGTGATGGTTAATATTGACTGTCAATTTTATTGGGATGAGAATTGACAAAATTAGTGTAGAACATCTGTCGATATGTTTGTGAGGATGCTTCTGGAGATAAATTACTGAGTGGAAGGAGACATAAAAGGCTGGATAGCCAGGAGAAATAAAAGAGGAAGGATGAAAAAGCCAGCCAATGCTGGCATTCCTTACTTCAGCATCTTGCCCTCATGAGGTGGATAATTTTGCTCTGCCATACACTCTTTTTAAGAACTATCATACAAAGTAACAGTGTAGTGGGTAGCCATTCCAGCTTTGATCTGGAAGTTCCAACCCCCATTGAGGCTTTGGTAACTGTCACGCCTACAAGGCGGGGCCAAGAGAGGACCCTGGTCACTAGAGGTAGACCGAGTAGAGTTCTCCAGAGAACACCGCGGGACTGTGCTATGTCTTTCCCAGACTCTGCAACCCACCTATCCCTTCATTTTTAAGTTATGCCACAAAATAAACCTCCCTTTTAACTCCGTGGAGTGGCCTTAATAATTTCACCAATATAACAGGTATCAGTATGGCATTTTCACACATACTTTGTTTTGCTTGATCTCCGTCCCTTTTAGCCCCTTTCCCTGGTCTCTTTTTCACGCGTACCATCTGTCCCTGGTAGTTTCCACTTTCACATCTCATATGTTGTTGACTCTTCCTATGTTGCCTCCTTATTAAATCCTGTTTTTTCCTGTCTCATGGTTCCCTTTCCAGTTTATGTCCTATACCCACAATCACTCCTACATAAATGCATACATATAAAAAATTGGAATATAGGCTGGGTATGGTGGCATAGCCTTTAATTCCAGCACTCAAGAGGCAGAGGCAGGTAGATATCTATGGAGTTCCAGGATAGTCTGGTCTACATAGTGAGTTCTAGAAAATCCAGGGTTATATATTGAGACTCTGTCTCTAAACATATATATATATATATATATATATATACACACATACACACATAAATACATATATATGTATGTATATATACACACACACAAAATATATTGAGACTCTGTCTCTAAACATATATAGATATACACACATACACATAAATACATATATATGTATGTATATATATATACAAAAAATATATTGAGTCTCTGTCTCTAAACATATATATATATATATATATATACAAAAAATATATTGAGTCTCTGTCTCTAAACATATATATATATATATACACATACATACATACACATACACACACAACACACACACACAATTAGCAGCTCGGATTGGCACATGAGAGAGAACATACACTATGATGTCCTGCCTCACTACAAGCCCAGAGCAGTGGTACATGAAGACTATGGACTGACACCTTAGGAACCACCAGCCAGAGTCAAGCTTTCTTCCTTTGAAGTTGATCTTTCAGGTATTTGTCATAGTGATAAAAATACCGGGCAGCATAGGGTTCACTTTACAAATTTCTTTCTTCATTTTATTTTGTGCTAGGGTTGGACCTATGTCTTTGCATATATTAGACAAATGTTCTACCACTGAGAGACATCCTATGTCTCCAACAGATCAACCAAGGAAATTCATCATTTTTCTATAGTAAATCATACAAATGATCTTATGTTATTCAAACATGTTTTTTTGGTTACATGCAGCTGACTATATATCCTCATAGATATCCTATCTTATGAAGTAACACACAAAAGATAATGTCTAATTCATGGTCTATAACTTGAGAAGATCAAGGATTATTTTCCTTTCCTCAGAACAAACAGATAGAGAGTTGAAATGGTTACATTTAACAGCTAATGTCCATTGCTGTTACAAGGCATTTCATAGCTGCTGATCACATATAGATGTTAGTATCATGTTAACATAAACAGCCCAGCCCTTGGGGAGTTTTAAGTTATAAAAGAAACATTTTCCTAAGATTGTGTGCTCTGATAGAGAAAACACAGTCCAGCCTAGGCCCATCATAAACTTCTGGCAAGACAAGAGACGCTAGTTGGTGATTTCATCAGGCAAGACTTCCAACTAATGGGCTGATGAAAACATTGTTGCATGAACAAACTCAACTATGATTCTTCTTGTGAGTTTTGTCATCTTAGATCATTATGGTTTATTTATGAAAAGCATTACCTTAGATATTACCACAATCCTATGGATATAAACACACACACTTTTCTTTTCTGAAATCAATCAGTTACCTTTTTCTTGTGATTCAATCTTT